GTCAGAACGAGACTAGCGCATGGCTATAAGCTGGTCTAATTCAAAAATTATGTCCAACTCGCCGCATATGGTGCAATCAAGAGTGTAGTGAATGCGGTAGCGCCGGTAACGCCTCTTACCGGCTCCTGTTAATCTATCTTTCGAGGTCGTGAGGGGAGGAAGGGGATGGACCTCGGAGTTGGACTGCTGGAGGTCGTCCGCAATTTGGGATGGCGCAGTGTCGATCAAGGCGAGGACTTTCCTGCCTCTATCTTTAAGCACTTGTCAGATAATTGCAAAATTCAAGACGATTTCCTAGGACACAATGTTATGAATATACCACCGTACTTCTGTCAACATTGGGAAGCTATTCTTCTTGTGAAAAAGCTGTCGTATCTAGATATTACGATGAACACACCTCGCAGTATTTGCTGTGTAAGATACGGTGATGCGTATACATATGACGTGTGGCAGCAGATAGTTCCTTAAAACTTGTGTGAAAAATGGGGATACATTTGCCTTGTCCATTTTTCGTGACCCTCGATCCCCGCTTAGGAGATTATCCTATCAGGCGTCCGTACAAAAAGATTCCTGTGGAAGTTAAGATGAGCAGGGTATTTCATCTTGAATAGCGGCAAAATCAAATATTAGCAACAACCATGTTGTACACATTCGGGGAGAATATCAGATATTATAGTCTAAAGATCAGGTAAAGTCTCGTCATAGCCTTCGAATTACCTGATACGCCCTAGTCGTGAATGTGGATAGCTCGAAGTTTGTAGCTCTGATGTACATTGTGAAACCTTCGTAAGGAGCTTGACGCCGTCACCGAGGAACGAAGTGTTTTATTAAATCATCCGTCTTCGGCGCAAGTCATGTCCCCGGTGAGGACAACCCAATGTACTGGCCTTACATTACCTAGATAGGTCACGGCATCTTCTGTTACAAATTAATGGCCAGATACTGGACGCTTGGCGCTGAAGATGCTAGATTTCATAGCCTTTGGCTCATCAATTTTCGTGAAAATGTTGCTGCCTAAGTCACGCCCTTTGCAAGGTTGATCTTCTTTGTCTCTCATACAGCCTAAACCTGCTGGTCCATGCTTTAATTTCTTACAGTGTATTTGCAATTTTGCAGGTGATGAGCATTGGCAAAACGAACTTGCAGCATCTTTGTGCAATGCAAATAGTGGAATAAAGTCAATGAACAACTCGTTTCAGCTTTTTCCTCACTACAGAAAAAATCCTTATTAAACAATCAAGATGTTCACGTGTATCTAACCTTGAAATACAGCCCAAACCAGGTTCGATACGAAAGTTGATGACATGTGTTGAAGTTCTATGGGTCTCTTTTTCTGCTACTGCTAAACAATTATAGGTTTGGGGTGGAGGGAAGTGGAACAAATTGTTTTGGCGAATTTTTTCATTCTTGTCTTCCATATTTTATTTTTCCCACTATACACGCATGACGACACGAAATCTGAAATCTAATATTATTTAATAATGTTTGAGGAAATAATGTATGAGGAAATGTCGTCACCGAGGTGCCATTAGTTACCGGAGGGAGATCTGTACAAATTTATGAGAGCGTACTCAGGCTATAAAAACTTTACCGCTGTAAAATTGTAAATAAATAGGTTAAAAAAACCGGTCGCTAATGAGTCATTGTACGTGTGACCTGTTTTGGCCAACCAAATATGACTTTCAAATCGTTATATATTATACCCAATCTAGTTCTAGTATTAACAATTTGACTTTGTAATATTAAGCCTTCTTCGATTTTGAAGGGAAACATAAACCACCCACCAGGTTATGATTAATCTCCCACCACATATTACATATTGCCTTAGCTTATATAATGTATGCCTTCTGAATAGTATGGGTTCGAATCTTACATCTCTTGGAAGTACTTTTATATTTTTGTTTACAAATGATAAAAAATGATCTGAATATTTATGCGCGCGTCTCTAAGTGGGCGACGTGTGGTAAAAATTATTATTCAGCTAGTTTATTCACTATACACTAAAACCATAACAGCAAGGAGTAGCTGTAACCGACCGTGGGGGACAGTATTCGACATACATCAAGTACACTTACATGGTTCTTAGGCAATTTACTCACATATTACCACCTTACGGCAATTGTCTTTATGTTCCAGGACGTAATTCAGGAGAGCAAGACGAAGTAATTTATAGACTACGGTGCACGTATCATAATAAAATAAGGTGTTGTCGGTAAGGGAAAGAAGTTATGTGTAGGTTGCTCTTATGGTTCGCCACAAAAAAAAACTTTAAGGCGGTGCTTAAGTATGTGACTGGACGATATAAGTATTACAAACTTCAAGTGGGTTTTTCTTGACGCACAAGAAGCGACATACCTCATTGTGTTAGCTCGCTGATTTGTTGTAGGATTCGAGAATCGTGAACTCAGCATTTTATTTTGGCGCAACGAGCGAATAAGCTTAATTAACAGCCAAGGGCTAGATCGACAGAATATCATAACTGCGCGAATTTATTCGATTATGTTTATTTTGCGATCTGATGGCTTATTTATCGTGGCATAACGATTGTCGAGATTAAAATTAAGGGAGATTGTCTATCTGATATTGCGGTTTTTACGATAAAATCAGCTTTTTGGTCACTAAGATTTTGCCGCGCTGCATCCGAATACGACTGGGCTCAAAATATTATTGCAAGTGCTTCACGAGATTTGTATAGCGTATCGTTGGCAGTTCTAGGAGGTGATAGTAGAGCCGAAAAAAAATGAATGACTATGGTTTTTGCACGCCAAGTCATTTTTTTAAAAAGTCAATAAAGTAGCGTGCATGCAAAGAAAGGTAACGTATTTGTGCATGGGGATCGGCGGCCAGAATTTAGCAATACGACTTTGTATTATGAACAATACAAAAACTGTACGGATTAATGCAACACATAAGGGGTGGTGGATGGCTAACAAAAGCATGGTGGGTAGTTAAAAACTCCTTCTTGATAATTTTCGCTGTACAAGTGTCAGGACCACTCATTTTCGGTATCACCAATAATGAGCCATTTAGTATTGAAGACCAATCATTCTGTCTAAATTCGTATACTGAATTTGGTTTATATCGTTTGTGCAAGCAGTAGATATGACATATATTTTAGCCTTGGACATATAGGATAGGTGGTATCATTTTGCGTGGGTTATGAAAACATAGCTAATGATCAGAAAAAGCTCTAAGGCATTTAGTTTGGAATTTCTATCTTTTTTTTCACAAGTGGTCGCACTTGTCGGTCCCACTATTCTTCGCCACACACCTTCGCCGTCTGTTTTCGTTGTCCACGCGCCTTCGGGGGTGTCTAATCACTTCTTCTTTTAAGGATGCTACTTCTTATTGCGCTAGTGATCGATCTATCTTGAATCTGCTTCTTCGCTGAAGATTATGAGCGCAGCGTAATAATTTTCGCTTGTAGTTGACAGCACTTATTCGTGGGGTTTACTGCTTGTAGCGTGGAATTTCCACAAGCAGTTCACGACGCTTCATCCCTTTAAAGGCACTGCCATGCAGTTTTATGTGGGTTGTTGAAACATCCAATATTATTTTAAGAGTCTGCATTGCAAATAGATTCTTTAGCTTGTGAGAAGTTGGGTACGGCTTAAAGCTTCGAATTAGCGACTTCATATGATAAAAGGTTGAATCTTAGACGTTGTAATTTTTCTGGCTAAGTAAGTATTGAGGGTTAGTGGTGAAATTCGAAAGTTTAAGCGTAGTTTTTACGGTATAGTTGTTATGGTAGTTACCTCAGAAAAGATTGAATACGCAAGCAGATAGGAAAGATGTTAGGAAAGATCTTTAAAACTTTAGATCTTTGGATCCTAAGATCTAAGTGATTCATAATTTAAATGTGATACACAAATAGAGTAGTGTAGGCAGAATAAGCTACGGTCACTTAATCACTTTTAAATCCTTCTTAAGTGAACAAGCGTTTTCCGCATTGTTCGCTCCGGTCTCTCCACTTCGTTTTCTCTTCGCCTCCCGCTCAATTAACAACAGCAAGCAGTCAAGCTCAAAAGTGAAAAGCTTAATCGCAAGCCTAGTTTGACTACAGTAAAACCTTTTTGCTCGAGTGCACAAAGAAATATGCACGAACGGATAACGAACTAATGGCGCCTGTAAAGAAGACTCGCCGCGCCATTAAGATCGTTCTTAATTAGTTCACCAAGGAGAAGGCAGTATTCCCACGTGAAAAGATAATATTTGATGGAATTTCAGCATTTTGTCTACGTGCTCCTTTCAAAAGTCGAGCGTGACAATTTGAATGATCTTTGGTACAACTCAAGAAATTACGATAAAGTAAAGAATAAACCTTACTTATCTTTAGATCGTGGCACAGCATTATAGCGATTATGCAAAAATGATGCAGATGCTACAAAGAGAACAGGAGCTCGTTAGAACGTTGGCTACGTTTCATGGTGCGGGAGGCCTTACGATAGACGGATTAGAAATGTCGTCTTGCAGCATACGAAAAGGGTAATTCGTCCGAATTTTCTACGCGCAAGGTAAACTTCGTTTGTTGCACGTGGAACAAGTTGGACAAGTGAGACTGACCACGCTGGACATATTGTTGTGAGGAACAGCAACGCGGTGTTTCATAATTTATCACGATCTAATGCACTCAGTAGATAAACAATTTTTCGTTGTTAAAAAGAAATTTGCTTCTGCACATCTTTGTTGACGACCATCGGTTTTTTACCAGTATTGGTAACCGTGACCGGTCCAATCCGAACCGCCTGTTCAGCTTAGTATGTATGACGTAGTTCTTACGGTAATTACCATAGTTGATTAGACGCGTAGGATGATGAGACACTTCACATGATTTATATGTACACCACATATAAATCATGTAGTAAGCAGTACGCCCCGATACTCATTCACTTTCGAATCTTCCAACCAGTTAACAAGTGTCTTCTGCTTTACTCTCTTCAGCCTCTCCGCTCCTTTTGCTCCGCTCTCTACCATGCAACAGATAAATGAGTGCAAGCGCTATGTCGTCCACCACCAACGCATCGTCCGACGCCTCCATTGATAAGTTCAATGGAGACAACTGTGCGACTTGGAGTCGATACACGGGCGGTGTGTTTTTGACGAAGTCCGATTGGCACGTCGTGAACCGTGAAACGACTCCGACTTTCACCGACCCGCGAGCGTCCGATGACTACGTCAAGGCGAGCAACGTCGCGTTTGGTATGATGTTGCTGCACACGAATGCATATTATTAGCATGTGCTTGACAACTGCGAGGAAGCGTGGGTTGCGTCGACAAGTCCGAAGACGCTGTACGATGGATTGCAGAAGGCAGAACGCATCTACCACAAGTGTCAGCTGTTCAGCATCAAGATGGCTGAAGGCGCGAACGTCATGCATCACTGCAACGAGGTCCTCAAAGTCTCCGCCAAGCTTAGCAGCATCGGTGGGGGAAGATGGAGTACGAAGACGTCGCAATCTGTCTGCTGCTCTGTCTCCCTAAGAGAAGTGAGAATATTGTTCCCAACTTAAAGTTTAGCAGCGCAGAGCTTCTTACCCAAGATGTGGTGAAGGTGCTCACGAATGAGCATGCCAAGCGCCAAGGGGAGAAGGTGACAACAACAGCAACGACGGTCCAGACTAAAGATGCAGCCAATGCATTCAACACTGAATGCGAGCCATACAAGTGCACATACTGTAGAAAGGTAGGACACACCGTGGATCGCTGTTGGACCAAGCAGGTGAATGAAAGTTGAGGAGCCCGACGCGGTGGCAATCCTCGTAGACGCGGGGCGAACAGTGTCCAGTGGGACAATATCGTGATGACGACATCGAATACGATCGAGTAGCGTTTGCAGTTTCGTTGAAGTGGGGACTCTCAGCGAAGAAGGACGTGTCCGGAAAATGTGGACCGCCGACAGTAATGCAACACACCACATTTGCCACGACGAGACCAAGTTTGCAAGTTTGGCAAAGCGCAATGAGGGCGAATTATTGGTGGCGGATGGCAACAAAGTGACCATAAAGGGTGTTGGAACTATCTTTGAAAAGTTAGTTCTGGCCGACGGTGAAGGCGCGAAATTGAGATCAAGAACGTGCTTTACGTACCAATCATGAGCAAGAATCTGCTTTCGGTACCGCAGAATAACAAGCACGGCAAGTTCCAAGTGGTGTTCGACGGGACCAAGATGTTTGCTGCTCGCAAAGGATCCCAACAAGTGGTGGCAACAGCAGATCTTGTGGATGGACTTTACTGGCTTCACACAGCTCATCGATCGGCCAATAAGGCACTAAGCGAAAACAACGATGTCGACTTACATGCACGAATGGGGCACGCTACAGCTGATGTGCTTCGCAAAATGGTGGCCACGAACATGATCAAGGACGTAGAGGTACTTCCCAAGTCAAGTGCATCAAGCGCATGTCAAGGATGACAATAAGGAAAAAATTGTCCAAAAACCATTCCCACGCAGCCAAGAAAAGCGCAGATACGACACCTTTGAGCTACTCCAATTCGACACATGTGGACCCATAGAGATGAATTCTCTGGGTGGCAGCAAGTATCTACTGCTATAATCGTGGACGAAGCCAGTGGATGCATGAAGGGTTTCTGTCTAAGTATGAAATCGTAGAGTGAGAGCTACATCACACGATACATTACGATGGTGCAAGCGCAGTTTGGCAAGAAGGTTAAGTTTGTTCGACAAGACGGAGACCACGATTTCGCAACCAACTCGCATCAAGAGTTCTACGAAGACGAAGGCATTGCGCACTCAGACGACAGTACCATATGAACACCAGACCAACGGCACGGCGGAGCGCGCCATTCGGACCATCGTCACAATTGGTCGCAGCATGCTCCACCATGCTAAGCTGGAAAAGTGATTCTGGGCCGAAGCAGAAATGACGGCAATCTACGTCAAGAACCGTCTGCCGTCGCCTAAAGATGTACACAAGACTCCGTTCGAGATCGTCCACAACTCCAAGCCAAGTGTCAAGCACAAGCGGGTGTTCGGTTGTCAGGTTTACATACTGACACTGAAGGAGAAGCAGCTCAAATGGGACCCCAAGCTTGCACTGGGATATTCTTGGGATACGAAGAAGCATCCAAAGCGTAGCGCGTTTATGACATTGAGGCGGGGCAGGTGGTCTTCAGTCGCGATGTCAACTTTGACGAGTCCACCTTTGGACTTGCGCTGCCGATCACTGATGAAGATACCGATGACCTTGACTTCGACTCCCTCGAGCTAGATGATAAATGCCAGGTCAAGCGCAGTACAAGCAAACAGGCAAGTGAAACATTCATATCAATGATGAAGAAGTACTAGCTCCACCCACGCGCACAGTGCGTCAACGGCCTGGACTAGAAGAATCAAGTGCGCCAGACACTCACACGATTCAACAAGAAGAAGATGAAGAAACAAAGAATGCTGATGCATCGACTCCGCCTGTGTTTTGGCGTGCGAGTGCTAACGCCGTCGAAACAGCAGTGGACTTATCCGAGCCATCGACCTTTGAAGCTGCGGTGAGCGGTCCTGATCAAGTGCATTGGCGCGAAGCTATCCGTGCGGAACTTGAGTCGATGCGACTTCGTGAAGTGTTCCGCGCAGCCAAGCTACCTAAAGGACATCGCGCCATTGACACGAAGTGGGTCTTCAAGATCAAGCGCAAAGCGGACGGATCAATTGACAAGTACAAGGCGCGTCTTGTGGCAAAGGGTTTCAAGCAACAATATGGTATCGACTACACGGAAACATTTTCGCCCGTAGTCAAGTACGTGACGCTGCGCATGGTGATTGCAGTCGCCAAGTATTTCGGATGGACCATCGACCAACTCGACGTGGTGGCGGCATTCCTGTATGGTGTAATGAAGGAACAAGTTTTCTACGTCATCCCTGAAGGCGTGGAATTGGAGGGCTCCTTCGATTGTCTGGAGTTGGTGAAGGCAATCTACGGACTAAAACAAGCGTCGCGCGTATGGAACAAAACTCTTGACGAGTTCGTGAGTGCCATTGTATTTCAAGCGTCAAGCCTCGACCCATGTCTCTACATAAGGATCGTGGAAGGGCAATGCGTACTGCTGCTGGTGTATGTGGATGACGTGTTGATCACCGGTAGCTCATGCCAGCTAATTGCACGCACCAAGACCGACCTGAAGACACGATTCGGATGACTGACAGCGGCAAGTGTGCATTTGTGCTTGGAATCGAGCTTTTGGACGGCGCATATGGAAGTGTGACACTATTCCAGCGTCGGTATGTAGATGACATACTCAAGCGCTTTGACATGGATGATTGCAAGGCCGTCGCAAGTCCAGTCGACATGAGCTCTCGACTTGTTTCAAGTGATGCAGCCACCAAGGTCGATGATCCTTTTCGCAAAGCTGTTGGTGCGTTGATGCACCTGACCACCGCAACGCGCCCGGATATTGCGTTCGCCGTGAGCTATGTGTCGCGATTCATGGAGAACCCCCAAGAAGAACACTGGGTTGCAGTTAAGCGCATCTTCCGCTACCTACAAGGCACCAAGATGCACAGAATCTGCTACAAGCCAAATGCGAAGATCGACTCTCGTGGATACTCGGATGCAGACTGGGCCGGTGACCTCGCTGATCGCAAGTCGACGTCTGGTTACGTATTCATGCTGTTGGGTGCGCCAGCGAGTTGGGGCAGCAAGAAACAGCCAAGTGTTTCGTTGTCCACGAGTGAAGCCGAATACATCGCACTCAGCTTGGCGATTTAAGAGGGCAAGTGGATTCATCGTCTGCTTTGTGAGATCATGATGGCTGCCAATGAAGAAGGACCGGAACTCATGATCCATGAAGACAATCAGTCGTGTATCAAGATTACGAAGAACCTGGTCAAGCACGGCCGTGCCAAGCACATTGACATAAAGTATCATCACATCCGTGATGAGGTCAAGCGCGGTGAAGTGAAGCTCAAGTACTGTGAAACTGCGGTGATGTTAGCGGACATCATGACGAAGGAACGTCATGGGCCACGCCACAAGGAGATGACGGCGGCTCTCGGGATTCGTGCGTGTTCGCATTGAGGGGGCGTGTTGACGGTCATCGGTTTTCTGCCAGTATTGGTAACCGTGACCGGTCCAATCCGAACCGCCTGCTCTGCTTAGTATGTACGACGTAGTTCTTACGGTAATTACCATAGTTGATTAGACGCGTAGGATGATGAGATACTTCACATGATTTATATGTACACCACATATTAATCATGTAGTAAGCAATAAGCCCTGTAGACGGGCGCTTATACAGCTGCCACGTACTACCACGGCACACGCGCCTAAGCACAGCGAGGAAGTGGTTAAACCGTCTACCTTTCGCGTGTGGTGGTGGGGATTGGCTGGTCGACCGCTTAAGCGGTCGCACCACCTGTTGCCGCTCGCGTAAAGCGAGAGCACAACGAACTTCTAAACAAGACGACACTTACGACACCAGAAGCTTATTCAGATTCTGCGTGCGCAGTGTTTTTTAGTTAGCAAATTCAAGACTAAGTTATATTTAATGAATTAAATATAAACTAACCAGTGACTGGTTAATATAAAAAGATTGGACACGCGACTCTTTAGAAGCGTATCCTTGCGTGCTGAGATTAAATAATTTAGCCTCGCTAATGACGTCTGTCGTCGACGTCATGATGCCTAGCTTCAACTAACGTCATCCCTTCTCATGTGAATCCATCAATGGATATCACATTCACGAGGGTGAGTCACATTTGTGTGTCTCACCCAAGTGGCAGCTCCAAAGTAATTACGCATACTTTGAGCTTACCCATTAAATATGCACCATAAAATGGGTACGTGTAACAAGTATATTTTTACCCTGTTACAAGCCCCGACAATCAATCACTTTCGAATCTTCCAACTAGTGAGCAAGTGTCTTCCGCTCTACTCTTTAGCCTCTCCGCCCCCTTCGCTTCGCTCCCTGCCATGCAGCAATCTTCAACAACGTCTGCAAGAAGGACTGCAGTGCCGTAAACAAAAATGTTGTAATAACATAATGGATTAAATTGCGCAATTTCACAAATTCGTTTTGCAAGTGGAAAAACTACCTGGAATAGACCAATTTATCTATTTCCAACGAGGATTGAGACAAAGAATACAAGAAAAAAATTAGTATCGACGTGATGCATCCTTGTCTGAAGTGATTTAGGTTGCGCTTAATTTTGAACGCGCACATTAAGGTAGCTACAACAATCACGCCGCCACAACCTCGTTCTAGTACGCATTACGTGGAAGGAGAACCGTCAGACGCGTCCGAGAATAAGGAGATCGACAATGCTTAACCGTTTTTCAAGGGTCATTTTAAGATCAACAGCGTCGTCCCAATGTATCCAAGTGCGCGTGCTGCAAGTCAATCGGGCATAACACAGATTGCAAGTATAAGCACACATTTTCGGGGTACAGTATTGGATATCTTCGTAATCGAGCGAATGTTATTTTTAATAAAGATGAAGACGTTGAAGACGTTCCGTTTTAAAGGACTCTATTAAAGAATAAGAAGCGGTATCCACAACGTCACATGAAGTGATCAAGACATTTTATAGGCTAATTCCACGCTCTTCACTAGTAAAAAAATTGATGTTCATACAAGGTTATTTTGACTATCGGTCCGTCAATATTATGCTCGATGCGATCTACATTAAACGAAATTAAGACAGGGTTGCTCCAACATGTCATTCGTAAGTGAAAATACAAGTCACTCGTTTTGACGGCCCGAAAAACATTGAGTATATAATTGAAAAAGGTGTTGCAAGCATTGTTTTTTATAAGTGTTACTTTTCGGACGTTCCTGTCCCCGAGTGACCAATCAATAGTTCTCTAGCTGTAATTTTGGGTAAACCCAAGGTTACTGCCCACGACCCAGTCATCCACTGGCGCACACATCACGTGTTATTCGAAAATGGTGAGATACCACAGGATGCAGCGCTCGAACCGGTAATCTCTTTCTTCCACCGAGTTTTTAAGGAGCCTAAAGCAATTAAACAACGAACAAAATTGTATCAAAGTTGTCACATTTCTATGTAGACGAGCCGCAAGAAGCCAAGTTATAGTCATTGCTCGATTCGTTTCACAATTGTTATACGGCAAAACTAATAGATGCACTACCTCTGCATCGTTCTGTAGAGCTCTATATTGCAATAAATCATAAACTCTCTACCAAGTTACCGTCTGCCAATCCGTCTTTCACAGATAAAACAAAAGGCCTTACAGAAGTCTGCAACGAAAATCTTTCCCGCGCATGGAAAGATCTTTATTGTAGGTTACCGTAACAACCCGAACTCTAAGGTGTAGTTTTACGGGATAGTTTTACCTAGATTATTACGCAGGAATGATTAGACGAGCAGGGTGATTAGACGCGCCAACTGATTTATATGTGGACACGTGTAAACCAGGGTGTAGCAGATAAGCTCCGATAATCATTCACGTTCCAATCTTCCGATTTTCCGAGTGGACTCCTCAGCATCATTTCCAGATTCGGTCATCAAGCTTCGCACCTTTCAACAGGTTATGAGCCCAAGCACGATGTCCTCTGCTCATGATGCCACCACCAAGATCTCCATTGACAAGTTCGACGGCGACAACTACGCGACATGGAGCCGCTACATGCGTGGCGTGTTCCTGACCAAGTCGACGTGGCACGTGGTGAACCGGGAGACGTCACCGACCTACGCGGACGATCGCGCCATGGACGACTACGTCAAGGTTAACAACATCGCTTTCGGATTGATGTTGCTGCACATGGACGCAGACTACCATCACATCGTCGATGACTGTGAAGAGGCGTGGGTCGCGTGGGCGCGTTTGAAGACGCTGTACGGCGGGTCGCAGAAGGCTGGACGCATCTACTTGAAGCGCCAGCTGTTCAGCATGGAGATGGCGGAAGGCGGCAATGTGATGCTTCATTGCAACGAAGTCCTCAACATCAGCGCGAACCTCAGCAGCATCGGCGCCAAGATGGAGGACGAGGACGTGGCGATCTGCTTGTTGCGCAGCCTCCCCAAGAGCTACGAGAACGTCGTTCTCAGCTTAGAGATGAGCAGCGCGGGACTGCGATCGCGAGACGTCGTGAGAGTGATCGATGAGCACATCGATGTACAAGGTGACAAGACAACATCGGTGAAGACTGAAGACGCGGGAAAGGCGTTCAGTGCTGAACGTGAACATCGCCAGTGTACGCACTGCGGAAAATTGGGGCACACAGTGGAGCGGTGCTGGACCAAGCAGAAGGACGAAAATCAAGGAGAAGCTCGACGCGGCGTCAACAATGCTCGTGGACTCGGAGCCAACAACGCTTAGTGGCGAACCAACAACAACTACGATGACTACGATCGAGTTGCGTTTGCGGTTTCGCTGGAGGCTGGACTTTCGACGAGCAAGAATATGCCAGGGATGTGGGCAGTCGACAGCGGTGCGACGCATCACATCTGCAACGACAAGGCCAAGTTTGCAAGCCTGAATGAGCGAGAGGAAGGCGAACTATCAGTGGCTGATGGCAGCAAGGCTGCGATCAAGGGTGTGGGAACCATCATGGAACGGGTGGTTCTGCCCAATGGTGACGAACGCGACATCGAGATCAAGGACGCACTGTTCGTACCAAGTATGAGCAAGAATCTGCTTTCGGTGCCACAGATCAACAAGGGTGGCAGGTTCCAAGTCGTGTTCGATGGATCCAAGATGCAAGTGAAGCGCAAGAATTCCACACAAGTCGTGGCAACAGCGGATCTCGTCGATGGACTTTACTGGCTGCGGACTACTCAACGATCGGCGAATGCAGCAACACGCAATGGGACTATCGACTTGCATGCGCGCATGGGTCATGCACCCCTCGAAGTTCTGCGCAAGATGGTGGTCACCGGCATGATCAAGGACGCCAAGGCACCTCTCAACTCGACTGGTCCAAGTGTGTGTCGCGGTTACCAGCCAAGAAAGATGGTCCAAAAACCATTCCCAACCAACCGTGACAAACGCCAATATGGTGTGTTCGAGTTGCTGCACTTTGACACCTGCGGGCCAATGGAACAAGTCTCGATCGGCGGCAGCAGATACTTACTGCTTGTGGTTGACGAAGCCAGCGGTTGCATGAAGGGCTTCTGTCTGCGGTCCAATTCTGAGAGTGAAGTCTGTATCAAGAACCACATTATCAAGATTCAGAATCAGTTCGGCACGAAGATCAAGTTTGTTCGGCACGATGGAGCGCATGAGTTTGCGACCAACTCGATCAAGACCTTCTACGAAGATCATGGTATCGAACAACAGGTCACGGTGCCGTATGCACACCAGACCAACGGCACCGCAGAACGCGCGATAAGGACCATCGTCACGATCGGACGGAGCTTGTTGCATCATGCAAAGCTGGAGAAGCGTTTCTGGGCTGAAGCGGCAATGACGGCGATCTACATCAAGAACCGCCTGCCTTCACCCAAGATCGACCACGAGACTCCGTTCGAGATCGTGTACAAGTCGAAACCAAGTGTCAAGCACATGCGCGTGTTTGGATGTCGGGCGTTTATCCTGACCCCAAGGGAGAAGCGATTGAAGTGGGACCCGAAGGCTCGTGAAGGGATGTTCATGGGCTACGAAGAAGCGTCAAAAGCTTATCGAGTGTACGACATTGAGGCGGGCCAAGTGGTACTCACTCGTGATATCACCTTCGACGAATCGACTTTTGACTTTTCGATGGACCGACCAAGTGAAGAAGATGAAGATGCGGGGTTGGACCTCAACCTCCTGGCGATCAACGATGAAGACGTGCGCCAGACCATCTACAAGCAGTATGGCAAGCGCAAGAGTGAAGCAAGCACCTACATGTCATGTTCAGACTTCCATAAAACTGGGTTGGAACAAGCGAGTGCACTGGAACGCGTCTCTAGCCCTCACCAGAAACGACGACCAACTGCTCCTATAACGATGTCTGATTACGCAGAATATGCAGACGTCTACAATCAAGATGACGAGTTGACGCCTCCAACATTTTGGCGTGCAAGTGCAAACAGAGTGAAAGCAACGGACCTGGCATGACCTGCGACATTCCAAGACATAATCAATGGATATTGATCAAGTTCACTGGCGAAGTAATGTGAAGACGGAACATAAGTCGATGCATGCTATTGGGATTTTTCGTTCGGCAAACATACCAAGAGGTCTAGGCGCGATCGGCACCAAGTGGGTGTTAAAGATCAAGCGCAAAGCGTATGGATCGATCGAGAAGTACAAAGCGCGCCTTGTTGCCAAGGGATCGCAATCACCAAGTGTTTCGACTGGCCACTGGACCAACTCGATGTGGTGACAGCCTTTCTCTACGGAGTGATGAAGTAGAAGGTGTACTGCGTGGTACTAGGAGGCGTCGAGATGGATGGCGAATCTAATTGTTTGGAGCTGGTGAAGGAACGGTCTCAAGCAAGCTTCGCGTGTGTAAAAAAGACTTCGACGAGTTCGTATGCTTCATCGGTTTCGAAGTGTCGGCATTCGACCCATGTCGATGCATCAAGGTGGTCGATGGTCACTGTGTGCTCGTGCTGGTTCAGGTGGATGACGTGTTGTTGAACGGCATATCGCTCGAGTTGATTGCGCACACGAAGGTCGATCTCAAGACGCGCTTCGAGATGACCGACCGTGGCAAGTATACTTCTGTACTGGACATCGAACTGGTGGATGGATTGGATGGTAGCGTGACGATGTGCCAGCGGCGGTATTTCAACGACATCCTTAAGCGTTTCGGCATGTATGAGTGTAAGGCCACAGCAAGTCCGGTCGATTCAGGCACTCGGCGTGTCGCAAGCAGTGAAGCGGTCAAGATCGATGTTCCGTTTCGTGAAGCTGTGGGAGCTTGAATGCACTTAATGACTGCGACGCGCCCGGACGTTGCGGATGCTGTGGCGTACGTCTCACGCTTCATATAGAATCCGCAGCAAGAACATTGGACGGCGGTGAAGTGAAGCTCGAGTATTGCGAGACTTCCGTGATGATGGCGGACATCATGACCAGGGGACTAACGGGACCTCGTCACAAGGACTTGACGACAGCTCTCGGATTTCGTGCGAATTCGGATTGAGGGGCGTATTTAGGGTTACCGTAACAAACCGAGCTCTAAGGTGTAGTTTTACGGGATAGTTTACCTTGATGATTACGCAGGAATGATTAGACGAGCAGGGTGATTAGACGCGCCAACTAATTTATTTGTGGACACATACAAACGAGGATGTAGGCAGATAAGCTCCGATAATTAATCACTTTCCAATCTTCCATCTACTGCCCAAGTGTCTTTCCGGTTTTCCGAGTGGACTCCTTAGCATCCTTCCTAGTCTAGGTTTTAATCTTCGCACCGTCCAACAAGCTTTATGACTCGCCTTGGGTGTCAAATAATTATTGGCATACCCGAAAAAGACACACACACTGGAAAAGGTGCTTCTTGATCAGATCGATTCGTTCTGGTGACTAAAAAATATGCTACGCTGTGTCATTGACTTTCGCTATGTCAAACCATAGTCGATGGTCCCCAAAATTCATCATATCGCATGATATCTTTTTATTAAAATGCAAGGTTTGAGCTATTTCACATATATTGAATTAGCTCAAGGGCATCACCAGATACGCATTCACTAAAATAGAAAGATAGTTGACTGCGTTTTGTACGTCGCATAAGATATATTAGTGATGCGTTGAACCTATGGGTCTCGCTGAAATACCTGGCATTTAATCGCGGTAAATGCGTGCCCTTTTTAACAAATATTTATTCCTTATTGTCGATTTGGATGACACATGTAACTGTTCCAAATCTTATGGTGACTATTTGGGAAATTTAGCTACAGTGTTTGTCGTCTTACCCCAAAAAATTAGGCACACATCCAGAAATACAAGTTCGCACATACGTAAGTCAACTTTTTGGGACACACAGTTTCCATCCAGGGCTTGTTCGTCGATAACACTGAGACAGAAACAACCGCTAGAAGCTGATACCAAGCTCACTATAGGAGTAAAAACCTTGGCCTAGCAGGCTACCATTGTGGCATGACCCATCAATTTTTCGATTTAGTTCTCCCGTTTAGCCATATTGTCAGATAAGATGCATCATGGTAACGGAATACCGAATTAGAAGATGCCCTTGTAAAGCTAAAGGCTGCCTTACAATCCTCACTTTAGTTGAACTTGCTCAACTTTCACGCCCGATTGTTCTCGCAACGGTGCGTCTGGACCGTGCGTTGGTGGTGTTCTGTTCCAGTTTTTGAAACGGGCAAAATCACCCCATAGATTTTAATTTTCTAAAAAGTGTGAAAATCATAAGCTGAAATGGCTTGCTTACGAGAAGGAGTTATATGTCATTAAATTTGGGCTGGACAAATGGCGCCATTATCTTTATGACCATTGGTTTGACATTTTTGCTAAAAACTGTGCCTGTTTCGGCTGCTACATTACCCTAAAGTCTTACTTAAGCTCGCTCGGTATCTCACGACTTATACTCAGTATACGTTTACTATCCACCACATTAACAGTGCTATTAATTATTCGCTGATGCACTTTTGAGCCGGACCGACGACTCTATAGCCATTCATGTACACTTTCATAAGTACGATTACGATTGCCAACAATGTGGTATGTGTATACGATGCTATCTTCGGCGCCAACGCTGCCCCGGATAAAAACTGTGGCCAATCAAATTTCCACCTTACTGACAGAGTCGTATGTCGATTTGTAACTCAAAGTTCGTAAAATGCTTCAACATGGCTACGCAAGGAATGCTGAGTTTGGAGAAGTATGGAAATATGAGTAAGCGAATTTAATGTTTGTTGAATAAGACCAATGCGCAAGTTCGCGTTTAGCTAATAGGCTTACACGGCTTTGTGCACCAAACAACAATCGATTGCGAGCTCAATTCATATCCGAATACCATGACTCGCCCATCTCTACTCATCCTGTCAATCGCAGAACATTCTTGTGTGTTGCCTAATGGTTTTATTGGAAATCATTATAAAATTTTAAAGGAGAAAAACATGCGAGGTCTGTGCACGCTGGAAGCATGATGACCAGCGTAAAAATGGAATACGTATTCCAATTAAAATACTGGATGAATTTGGCAAGTAGTATAAAGGGCTCTATCATAGAACTTCCAATATTTGAATAATTTGACGCCATTTAACGATTGCAGATACATTTCTATACGCACAAAGTACGCAGATGTGTGTATGCACACACAACGAACAAAGTATGTTTAGATGCTGTAGTTCGTCACCGTTGTCTACGCGAAGTAATCATTAGTGACAGAGACAGAAAGTTTACTTTAATACTTTAGAAATCGCTGATGACAGCTATTGGTGGGCGCCTAAGTATGACAGTAGCTCGTCGCTCTCAAGCTGATGGACGATTCAAGCAACAAAAATTAGTCGTAGAAGATGCGCTTGGAGCTCTGTATCATATTGTAAAGCAGACTGGACAGAGCTTTTAGGAAATATCGAATAAGTCCATGTTACGCTCTTTAGCACAATCACTAGATACTCCCCCCTAAAAATGATACGAGAAGTAAAGAGCTCTCTCCATGCCAAAATTGCTTGTGACAAACGGCCTGCAAAAGAAGATTGACGTGCAAGCGAAAGTACCTGCCGAAAGACGAACAGAATAGCAATGATCAAGTTCGTACGAATTTTCTCGAATCTCAAGCTACACAGAAGCAGTACTACGACAAATAACGCCGACTGATTCAAGTTATAAGTTAAATGACAGATTTGGTGATGCTTGCTACACGCAGAATCTTTTTATAACTTGACGCCAACGACAAATTAACAAAAAGAGCGAAGTTTGCGGCAAGAAAGTGGGACCATTCGGACAACTTATATGATAATTTCTAGTGTGATTGGGCTCAGCTTGCCACAAAGTATACGAGGGGGATAAACTTAATTTTTAACGTCGATGTGCTGTCCAAGTAAAGAGCCTAATCCTAGAAGATTCCGTAGTTGCCTAATATTGAGCGTCCACATTTGTGGATAACCGCACAGCAGGTCACCTTCAAGTTATGAGACGCCTCTTAAGTCAAGTCATTTTACCCGCCAATTAAATTAGCTCATTTATTGGCAAAGTGAAACTGAAGGAGACGCAGGCTGGGTAGGAGAAAATAATTCACAAATTCTTTCATTAAAATGATCTATTCGCCGACTATACTCAACGTCAACGAGAGACAAAATCGAGGAGGATGTCAGGACCACTCATTTCTGACTGATTTTTAGACCAATCATTTGGTCTTGATTGAAGACCAATCATTTCTTCAAATTTCGTAATTTATATGCTATACTACATCGGTGTATGTCATTTATGCAAGCAGTAGGGATGATATATATTTTAGTCTCGGACATATAAGATAGGCGATGCCGTTTTGCGTGAGTTATACAAACAAAGCTAATGTTTAGAAAAAGCTCTACGGCATTTAGTTTTATATTACTCTCCATCTTTAAAAATAGCGATTGCCGGAAGGCAGTCGCTTCGAAAAAAATTTGAAGACAGCACAATGGTCAAACATATGTCGACAGGCCTAAACAGAGTAGACATTTTGACGCGGTAATCCTTTTGAAAGACACGCAACAATTTTTTTATGCGTACAAATCCATGTTAAATAAAAATCATTCTGTTTTTAAGGCAAAAATGGCCATTTTAGCATTTTGGGCATTGCATTTCTGGTGGCAACATCAGAAGAACACGTCGTATACTACCTACAACACTCTTAGTATGTCACGGTGTAACAATAATGCGGATAAAAAATGTATCGTCAGCAGAAGGTCACTTACAGTGACGAAGATATTATAACGACAATACCATCAATACAGCCAGCTTTGAGGCAACCATCGTCGATAGGTTATGAATAACAGGCACATTTACATGATTATCACATGGCCGAGGATATTTGCAGGCGTTTTTCTAAGTAGAAAATCAAAAAGACACACAAATGTTATCTGTCATGCATATGTGCATTATAAATTGCTGATCTACGTTTCCTCAGTTCCTCAACCTTCGTAGCTCAATGCCTTCCAACAATCGCTCTTACAGAAATACGATTGTGAATTCGAAGTAGGTTAAGTACATCACAGTTATAATGTTAATACCAGACTTACTATAGGTATCACGAATTTTGCTTGCTCGAAATTCATTTATTTTAAATTGGCCAAAACAAAACGCATGTACAATGATTCACTCACGACCGATACGTTAAACTTTTCATATTCATTAGTAATGTTCGATTTACGGTTTAGAGCATAAAGAATGCGCGATTAGGTCGGAGCACTTGTGCTATCGATTCTTTGAATCTTTCGCTGCTCTGTGTGATGGGTAAATGTCTGAGTCGTGACCACACCTTTAGATCTTTGAACTAGTGACTTTATTCGAGTTAGAGCTATTTCATACAAATTAAGTAACTTTACAGCCAACATTGTTTTTCAAGCTAAAGATCTCTGTAGCTGTGCTACACAAAAATTGCTTTTCACAAAGCTAATTTAAGTTTAAGCTGGTGAATGGAAAACATCGTATGCTCGTTAGCGTACGACACCAGTAAGTAGCTGTTTGGGGAGAAGACCGCCAACGATATCTCAGACGATTTTTGTTGTTAATACTGAGAGCATCCGGAGGGGATACGGAGATGAATGCCGTCAAATAAAGTTGAACTTGGTGTATCATTTGTTCCATCAATGCGCAATGATGTGAAAGCCAAAAAAATGAGTCATACACAAAATTCACGATATTAAAGCTAATGTAAAGAGATCATGAATATAAACAAAGTGTCCTTTGACGTTACAAGCATAAGCGATGAGGATGCACAGACATATGTAATCAAAGGAGCAAAGTGAACAACTCTGTCAGAGCGTTGTGACACTAGATCCAAGACCATAGGTTTAAGCGTTTAAAGAAGTCACATTAACCACCAAAATATATTTGATTCTGTCAGGAGTCACATGGTGTCGACCCTATTAGACATCATGTACACTTTACAGATACGTATATTTAATAATCAGATTCAAAATGTCCAATTTTTTTGTTTTTTTTAATTTTAGTGGCATTAAAAAATGAGCCATAAGCTAGGGAGGCATTTTTAATGTCTTAATTTCCAGCGCACAATACTCAACCTCATCTGCTTACTTGATAACCAGGCGACCAACTTCGGCGCTTACGCTTCAGTTCAATCGCATGTCAGCGATGGGCAGCTGGAAATGCGACCTGGATGAATGCTAACAATACGACAAGACTTTCGCTTGAATTGCCCAAGGGTTCTTTCGGCACGCCCACAACAATATTTGCCTTGGGGTACGCAAGAGCAAGAGCTTCTGGCGCGCGCGACGCATCGCTCAGCAGCGTCTTTTACGATTTTAAAGGAAATTATTGGAAGGCGTGGCTGGACAAGATTGGACCCTCGTATAGCTCTCCAGAACCCGACGCCATCGGTGGGCGACTGCTCAACAACGAGTACATGGTCGTTTTAATAGAGGTGATTCAAATGATCGGTACACACAAAATATTTGCATGACGCTCGATAGTGCGACGGACAAGGCGAAGAAACAGGTCCTTAACATGATGGTGTGCGGGCCTCTCGCTTGTTTCCTCATGCAATTTTCTATAAGCTATAATCGCGAGACGGCGGCAAACCTTCTGGAGAGGCTGAAGGAAGAGCGTCATCGGCTTCGTATATCTGTGGGCATGGATGTCGAGGACGACGTCGACGTGCTAGTAGAAGTCGTCATGATGGCCAATGCAGCCCGTGGGGAAGATCCGATTTAGACTGATTCGTCTTGTGTCAGGAAAAGCTTGCCACGGAAGGCGTTTGAGTCTGACCTATTCACGTTCGTGTTCGGCTGCGCGGCACACGGAAACACAACCGGGTAAGGATTGGCTGAAATTTCATAAAACTCAAGCAAATTGTTGTGGAAAAAGTCTTCATCGTACAAAAGCAACAGTGAGCACTTGCTGACGTCGATGTTCGTCGTCTGCTGCATCGAGAAGCTAAACAAGACGCACAGCTTGATTTTGCTGAGGAAAACGCGCCGGTGTACTGTTATCGCCACAAACTGCTTGAAATTTTTTCGTACTAATAAGCGCTACACACGCCATCAATCATAATCATAAGGTCGAGGATGACATTGCGGACCGGGGTCCGCAATGTCATCCTCGACTTCCAGCACTGAAAGAAGACGGCTGCAGTGGTGCTGCTTCTGAAATCGCTGTGCGCCTTGACCACGCAGCTGGAAGGGGATGATACGAAGTTCTTAGCAGTGTGGACCTGTTTCGCTCATGTCGCTCATCATGTAATTTCCATGAATAAGGCAATTCTCGTCGTGCTCGATGTGGACCGCGACGCGTTGCTCGGGTATGTCCATCATCGCGTTGGCATGATCTACACGCTGGCTCACGCGCTTGCATGCGTCACCTACCCGTTCTACTCCAGCATACACATGAACCTGGCCGGCTTGCACGAGTCGTCATTTCTCGAGATAGGCAAGGTTCCCTCGTTACAGCAGTGTCGCACGGCGTTGGCGAGGATCGCCACCGGTGACCAGGAGCTCTGCGATCTTCTGCTGGATCAGTTCGCGCACTCCTCGCGATGCGCATGGAGGGCACGAACATCCTGGCGTCGTGCAAGCTGAAGCCCGGCTTGTTTTGGGCGCAAGTCAATGACCGCAACATGTGCGGTCTCGCCAATGTGCTCGTCTAAATGCATAGCAACCGGCCGGTGCCGTAGGTGGCGAGCGAGACCACAAAACGAAAAATTGAGTGCGCACCTAGTAGCATGTTCGTCTTAGGCTCGGCCAATGCGAGAAACAGGGCGCCATCGCCTACATCTCGGCTCAACTAAAACGGTCGTTTGCCAAGAGAATTTCTGATCTAAACACTGTGGTGCTAGCCGCGACCGGCAAGGAGGAGGAAGAGCGGCGCCCGCAACAGCTAGCCGAGCAGAAGCAGGAAGACGACGATACCGGACAAGGCGGGTTTCGAATGGCCGACGACGCGGGCGCCATCCTGGATCCGCACCTGGGCGACGATTTGGTAGAGATTGTTATGGAGGAAGAAATGATCGGATTTTACTATTATCATTTTACAAAATATCACGAGCTGACGGCTACTTTTCGCAATCTGACATTTGTTGTTCACGAATCTATTTACGATATTTCGATTAAAATTAAACGTTTCAAATGCTGGCACATTTCAAAAATAATTTTATATTACGCACTCGAACACTTGTAATATTGCTGGATGGAAAGGTTGTTTCTCGCACTTGTGCATAATTCCAGATCAAAATTATCATGCACAATGGTGGCTATTACTAAACAGGGGATGCAATCGTACCTACTGTCGCCGGCACTGGGCTGTCCGTCTTTAAATAATGTACCCCCTAAACAAAGGCTCCAAACAACCTCTGACCGAGAGTAAAGAAAACAATGGTGGACTACAAGGGACAGGCACGTGCTGAAATTCTTCTGGTGGTGTGCTACGTGGTCATCTGCACGCCTGCCTGGATCCACGGCTACTTCAAGCAGGACTTCACTAGTGCGCTCCACGCCTGGATGGTGGCAACAGTTGTCAGTGCTCTGGTAAGTCCGAATAACCACATCAGATATGGACACGTGGCGCTGATCTGACTGTCGTTCTTTTGGCTGCTGCAGTTGATTCTGCCCAACTGGCCGATTTACAATCGTCATCCGGTGAAGTGGCTGCCCAGTGCCATGTACGTGAAGAAGAAAAGTAGCTGAAGTGCATACAGCACGGCCTGCCCGGTGGACGAAGAGATCTTAAGACGCAGCAGCACAGACGGGGGACAGAAATTGAGGAGATCCTACGGGCACCGTGGTATTGCAGCTACGACCACTTGTGTGAGGTTCACATGAAAACTTATTCCTTGTCCTCCTCGTCCTCGTCGTTGCCTTCTCCTTCCTCCTCTTCATCTTCGTTGTCCTCGCCGTCATCCTCCTCTCCCTCCTCCTCATCGTCGTCCTCGTCCTCGTCCTCATCCTGAACAGCAACAACACGTCAATGAGCTTTCCGCTATATACACTTTCGAGCGCTAAATCGGTATCTTACCATCGCGAAATACTGCACGGGGTTTTTCCATATTTCCTCCTTTATGATCTCGGCTACATCCTGATCGCCATCCGTCGAGACAAACCACTGGAGTAGATTAAATGTACACAGCTTTTGTCAGTTTCCAAACGCCTGAAAACAAGCTCAGAACCGATTGCAATACCTGAAAGAAGGCAAACTTTGCCTGGTCTTCTGTTGCTCCAGCCTTCTCCTGCCACGTGATTTCCGACGCTGTGACATCCACTTCTTCCTCATCCTCTGAAAACTTGACTTGTTTCCATAGTGTCGTAGGTGAAAAGTACGGATTTTCCTTGAAGACCTGACAAGATTCAAATTAACAAAGCAAACCGTAAATACCTTTGTTGACACAGTAGGAAGGAGACAAATTAAACCCAAAACCCAACCGTACCATCTCCATCCTGAAACTCCCATCGTCCCCCACGAACGTGACGTCAAACGTCTGCAGATAGTCCATGAGCATCTCGTCCTCCTTAGTGAGGTAGTTGCCCACCAGCGGGTGGTTCACAAACTGCTCCAGCAAAAAAGGAGCATGAGCTCCGTTCAGCAAACAAGTGAACCTGAATCAGACCATGAAGGATAGAGAGAAACACCACGTACCACTTTCTTCCAGAAGTGAGGAATTGCCGTCAGCAGTTCGTTGCGCTTCATGTACGTCGGGCGCTTCTTCGCATTGTACTTGGTCTCAATCACCAGAATCTCCTTGGCCTGCTCCACGTTCACCTTCTCCAGCTCCTCCTCCACCTTCTGCACAGACTCGAGCACCTGTTTCACCTTCTCCAGCTCCTGCTCGTCCGGCTCGTTGTTGTCAGTGCGCTGGCGCTTGGGCGACGGAGGACCGGTCATGGCTACACTGCAATGATCACGAAAGGGACTCGTTGGTTTGTGCGCGCGCTTGGAAGTCCCGATTTTGTTCCCTCTTGAACTAAATACCAAGTTTGAGAGAGGAGAGGACTTAACTGTGGAGTGCTCGTCGTCCAGATGGTGCCACACACTGCACACACGAAGCTAGTGTGTCACACACCCAGCATCGCGACTTTTGTAAAAAGAATGTCCCGAAATCATGCACGTCAACGCTTACATACAGTAGAGGATCATAGGCAATACGAAACGCATCAGTCATGCCAGAGAGCACGTATACATAGAAGAACGAATTACATTGGCGTTGTGAGCTTGCTTGTTATTGCTCGATTGACGGTGACAACGGTATACATACGCGACACTTGGTCATCTCATGACGCTCATCAAACCGTCGTTTCTTGGACGTGGCCCTATTACACAAAACGCCGTGTTGGCCAGCGGGATGTCCCACCATACCGCATGTCTTGTTCCCCTCATGATCATTTCTTTCGTTCACATTTGATCTGATGCGTACCTCGAAAACCTCAGCTATGAAAAGACTAGCTCAATCGATTGACCTTGGTTGATAGTGTGCAAATGTTTGTTTTGCCGCAGGCCATTCGACCTGCACGCACAATCGATTGTCGCTATCTAGGCCACATGTGTTCGTTGATTTTTTTCGCATTGCATGGTGGAAGCATTATAATGGTGGACGCCTTGCGATGGGAAACGCTTTATGAACTGGTTAGCAGTGCGAGTGGTGCAAAGTTGCGTACGAGACACAGAGATCTACAACAAAGTTGATGCAATTAATGTCGCATGATATTCTGTCAGGTAGAAGTTGTCGTTGCATACTTTTGCACCCTGTAGTCACCTTTGTGTTGGACTCTTTAGGCCCGTACCATGCTACTTTGCACATTGACGTCATATCCAGAGGCTTTCACGTCACCCACCATCCCACTGCGATTAATGAGGACAGTAGCGGGAGATGATTGACTGACACGAGAAAAGACGTGCAGGCTCTTGCTCTCCAATCGGATATATTCTGTACAAGGTGCCGTCCCGTCGCTGGAGCTTAACACGCCGCTACAGGTTTAGATGAATCTGTGCATTTCAGTTGAGCGGTGCAACAAATACGAGTGCATCGCACTGTTTGACAGTTCTATCTACGACAGCCGTAAAAATGCCATTACGACATCAACTCCTGTCTACAGCAATGACAAATTCGTCATCGACTTTCAGTCTCAAGCTTCTGCTATGGACTTTCCCACCAGACCCAAGTACTTTCAGTATCCGACCTAGAGCGCCTTTTCTCGTCCACGTTGACAGCAGCTGCTCGAGCTTGAAAGTGGCATCGTCTCGCTTAGATACGAGAACGATCCTAAAACGTTATGGTCTCTGCTGCGACTATGCTCGGTGCCGCCTACGCGCTCGCTCTAGTAGCAGCCGCTTCGCCTTGTACCGAGCAGCAGATCGAGCAAGATGCCATGAAGCTGCTGCAAGATCATGTGGACGTGGAGCTAGGCGGTGTCGGGGCGGGCAAGAGCGACGTCGTGGGGTTCCAATATCTTGTACTAAATACCCCGAACAAATATTAACGGATGATTGTAGCTTCAACTATAACACTGACCCTATCCATTCGCTGCCCTGCAATGTAGAAACCAGCAGAAGCTCTTTTGGCAGCACAAGCACGTGCTCATGAGAACTTCACTCAGGCAGCAGCTCAAGTCCAGCGCATCCTCACGTACCAGACACCTGACGGGTTACTGCCGCACTTGGTCTATGGCTCATCTGTGCCGTCCGGGTTACATTGGATACCCAGTAATCGAACCTTCCACCCCGGTCCTGCATTTTGGCAGCCAACGTCGCTAAAGGAGCACGAGAAGACAGTTCGGACTTCGTCATTCTCCACCTCAACGATCTCTGCTCCTCCTGTGGCAGCTGACGTGGCCTGGGAGATCTTTCGCTTGGCGCCATATGACTCAACGCTCGGTGTGCGGACGACTGCTGTTCAGTTCCTGTGCGATGTATACGAGCCACTCAAGAAGCTGCAGAAACACTTATTTGCAACGCGCCGTGGTGTCAGTGGTCTGCTGGCTGCTCGCGTACGTTTCGGAATAAAGATGCTTCATACAGCTTCAGGTGTGCCAGCACGTTTGGATTGATACTGAAACCGTTTTTGGGCTGGTAACTGTTGCAGCATCCATGGGAAACGTTTTCATCGCTGTCTCTGCACTGGAAAGGATTCCTTGCCGAGGTGAAGAAAGCACCGGACTACGACACAGTGGTAAAGCGTATCCCGCAGCAAGCCCGGCGACGTTTCGAAGTCGGTGCCAGTACAATATTTTCAGCACAAGATGCAGTGGAGAACATCTACGAGCCCATGATATATCTTGCCGCACGAACACATCAGGGAGCACGAGGCAGTGCAATTGATAATCATGGACTAGCTGCGTTCAATTCTACCACGAACAATCGATTCGCGGTTGAAGACGTGGAGTTCAATTCCCTTATGCTGCGGTCATCTTTGGGGCTTGTAAACATTGGCCGTGTCCTTGTAAAGCATTCATCCGTGTGCACGGGCTTTTACCTAACCCAAAAGGAGCTTCTTGTTGAGGTGGAAGAGCTTTGGGAGCTAAGTGAAGGTCTGAAGGTGGCTCTCGTCGGCAGCGACATAACTCGGGGTTTGTGGAACATATCGACTGACTTTTTCGCTGACTCGAGTCAGGTTGCAACGACTGCAGCTCACTCCTTACGCGGGTTTCTACCTGGGTATGCTGTGGAGCTAGACGACAACAAGAAGATGCGGTCGATGAAGCATTTTCTTTCCGAGCCCGGTTCGTTTTCTTTCCTTTGCGCTCGGTTCCCGGCTTCATTCATTTCGTGTTCGGGGGACGATTGGACCGAAGATGCTGGCTCAACGAGCCACCGTCCAGCAACTACTACGTGGCTTCTCTACAACTACTTTCTACAGCGGGGATTTGTCAAGGTATGCTTGCGTTGTTTGTTATTGTTGTAGTGCACGAGACAATCACGTTTGCTACTTATTGAACTATGCAGAACAAGTTTCCAGGACTGGCAGATTACGTCCGCAACAAGACCAGGGAAATGGTATGCAAGGCAACTGCGTTGACTCGACCGTCTCTTTTCCGGTTCCCGCTTTTGTTGGAGGCAGAAGAGCCCGCTCGAACAGCTCTGTCACCAGCTTACAACTCTCACGATGGCAGGCCAGTCGAAGTATTTGACGACAATTATTTGGACTCGACCCTAGCTGCTGCTGCATTACTAAACATTCTGCTACCCGCAGGTACGCAACAGGAACGTGTCCTTCCCAGTCTCAGTACTAACTCAATTTTGTCGCGACAGTGACGCCACCACCGAGTCCAGACACGCCGCCTGTTGACCACCGTATTCTCTCCGTTATCATGTGTGTTGAGCTGGTCGTAGCCTTTGGAGTCGCTATGAGCTGTTTTCTGTTTTCAGTTTATTTTGTGGCGAATCGACCGCGACAAGCACATCACTTTCCTGTGTCCACGGCTTGTCGACAATCAGCCGCAGAGCATGCAGAAAGGATTTCTCAAGGAAAACCAGATCACAACATCGAGGATGTAAATGATCGCGGTGCTAGCGGATATTCGTGGGTAAACAGGTACTCGGAATCGTCTTTCAGCGACTGCTCTCCAAGATCCGAGTACACTCCACAGGAACTAGAGGAATCGTTGCTTGTCGCGGCCAACGGGCGTTACGGATCATTTAATGAGGATACGAGGCCACAAACTACGTCCAATTTTGTCTGGAAAGCTGGAAAAAAAGTGCTAGCAGCCATCAGCCCCTGGTGAATGGGACTAGCTACAGCCCCTCACATAGGCGGAAACCGTGCAGGTACAGCAAAAGCCTCAACATATTGAGTGATATAACTCGTTACTTCTTCCAACCCATCACGCACCTACAGCAAATCTTTCTTCCATTTCGCCACAAGCTGCGTAGCCGTCTTCGCCACCGAGGGCGTGGTATGCTTGCGCAATTTATTAATTGTGCGCCCAACACCCGTGCTCTTCAAAATATCGACAGTGAGCACCATACCTGCGAGCGCGCTCAGCACATGAGTAGCCAATGCGGCAGAAACATTCTTCACGTCGCCATTCTGATCCAGTAAACCTTGCAGAAAGCCGACGCGGGTTGCTACATCTTCCATGTCAGTTGGGGCTGCCGCCGTTGCTGCTGCTACCTCAGAATTGATACGTATATCTTTGACATCGCTTGCACTGGTATTGGAGGCCCCCAATGAAAGATTCTGCACCCACGACATAAATAATTGGATCAGAGTTTACAAGACATATCCATTTAGACCAGCACCAAATTCTTACGTCAGTGCCCACGATGTCCGCATTCAGATGTAGCTCCAGCATGGGAGTGGCCTCCGGGAAAGCTGGTGCGAATCCCATTCGCAAAGGCTCACATAGTGCCCACAGCGCTTGTACAGTTGAGAAGTATCGTTGTTCGGTGTCATGCGAGGCCGATTCAGTTGCCCAAGAGCCATCCTCTTGTTGAGTCAGCAACAGGAAAGCCATTCCACGACGCACTTGGACAAGATTATTTGAGCCTTCAAAGCACCGCAAAGCCTACATTTCCAGTATGCAACATGTTAGCACGAGACGGACGCTAAATCAACTGCTTTCCTCTCACCCGTAAAGTCTCCGCAAGCAAATCCACATCTTGTTGTGCAAGGTGATATGCAACATGGTGACGCAAGAAGAAGTACTCGTGAGGAAGCAGATCCTGTTTGGCGTGTACACGACCGCGTTACAATTGTACGCATTCCAAACACATTCAGATTTTCTCACCGTCTCGCAGCGCAGTCTTCCGTGGTTCGTAAGTACAAACACAAGTGTCGTGACAAAACGTACTTGGTCGGCATAATCTTGAGGTGATAGGTCACCGGGGCCTTTGTATGGATAGACTGACAGCAGATGTTGAAGCAACTGCGGCAAGATGAAACCGATGTGTATCCCAAGCTCGTGCGTGTGATGCCACAGAACCAGTGCTCTCGTCAGCTGCTCGTATACAGAGACTCTGCTGTGGTTATTTATCGACGGTGGCTCTTCAGCTGGATTCCACCCGAGTAGTTCCTGCTCCATAACATCAGCACCACTTTAATTAAACCCTCAGCATTACTTAAACCAACTCCAAACCTCTCACTTTGGGACTATAGAACGCAGGCGACCGATCACAAAAGTCCAAGAGCTCGACACGCCGCACGTGGGAGATCCCGAGGCGCTCTACCACATAAACAGCTCGAATAACATGGACAAGCTGTGTAGGCGTGGGAATCGAGCCGGACGTCCAATCTGCGTGGCGGTCTTCCCCAAGCCACAGAGCTCCCATCAGTCGGGCGTAGAGCGTCGCCAGTCGCTGCACTTGTCCCTTCTCCACTGCCTGCAGATCACAAAGGGACTGAATCGCGTGCAGTCCCCAGTCGGGAAAACTCAATGGGTCTTCACGCTGCAGCTGGTACACTCGACGAAGTCCTTTCACAAGACTCTCGCGTCTCATTGCATTCTTCCAAGGCTCCACGATATCCACTCGCTTGGCCACTTTCTCAGCTCTGAGCTTGCGTAGCTCCTGGTGCATCAGCCGCTTCAGCATGTCCTTGTGGGTCGCCAGACTCACGTGCACCTCCTTCTCCACCGCCTGCCGCACGAGCTTCGTCGTGAGCTTAGACATGTCCTGGGACGTGATCACACCCGCGATGGCCGCTGAGATCTTGGCTTCAAGCTCCTTTGAGATCGTGCGCGGGTTCGACATGAGCGACGAGCCCGACGCCGTCATCTTCGTGTACATGCCTCCGCCCGCCATCCTAGCAATAATCCAATCGATCAAGTGCACAGTGGGTTAAATAGATTTAACCCGATTTTGCCTGCTTGGGTCGGATACAACCGACGGACCTCGTGGCTTGTGTTGGGTGAATCTCCTTTTTGGCCAATCGCTGATGCGAGCTCAGCGGCTTTGTCAGTATTAGCGACAAATTGAGCTCCTCGGAATATGCTGCTGGCCCGTACCCTCCGATCGTCTGCGCTATCGCGTGCCGCGAGCCACCGCTTCATTGGCGGGTTCGCAGCTGATGTGTCAATGCCTACCGTGTCTGAAAAAGTGTACGTCCTGCTTTTTGTTGGTCTCCTCTCTCTCTCGTTCTCGCTCCCTTTGCTCTGTCTAAAGTCTTCGTATTGTCCCTGGCTCGATACTTTGGTGCATCTATTTCGCTTGTGGCAGGGTGAACGTGGTGCTCGTGGACTATGAGGGGAACCGCCATATGGTCAAGGGACGTGCTGGACAGACGCTGCGTCAGGCTTGTGAGATGAACAGCATTGGCTACGTCAAGGACGACTCCATGGGCGGTGGGGGCACGTATGACGCCCGTCGCGCCGACTTCTACACGGAGTCGCTCTTTGGTGAAGGCTCCTCGTCTCCACAGTCGCACGTCGTGGTTTCGAACGAGTGGCTTAACAAGCTACCGCCTGCTGATGCGCGTGAGCGTCACATCATTGACACGTACGTCCCAGGAGAAGACCGCTCTGCAAACTCTCGTCTGGGCACGGAGATTGTGCTGCAGAAGGAACTGGATGGCATGGTAGTTGCTGTGCCCGAGGCGCCGCCTGTTGAGGAGTACGAGTATGAGCACGAGTATGACGAGGACGATTACGAGTCGTACGATGATGAGGATCAATGTGCGTAAGGGTGTGAAGGGAGGAAGCTTGTCCGTGGTGTTGATATTGGGACGAAGACGACCACGCGACTGCGTTGATAAGTCAGGTTTCATTACCAAGAATGCAAGGTAGCGTGAACGGCCTGTCTTGCTGACTAAATCCCTGCAGTCGATGCACATCTCCTTTCTCGATCCTTGGCTTTGCACGAAGTCTATCTCGATGCATTTGTACAGTGCTGCGCGTCGGAGAAACTGTGAAACTTTGCATACATTCGCGCTTTACAGTACTGAGGTATTTCCAGCGCTCGATGCGATACTTGTCGTCTTCGTGTACTTCTTGGCCAATGTCATCAAAGACACTCTATAACCGTCATTTACAACTTGGCAGCACGCGTGTATGGTGCTGCAACTTGTCGGCATCATCGACGATAAGCAGTAAGTCTATAGAACTAACCTGACATCCTGTCCGAATGGTCTTCAGTACTGACGTCAACTCCTCTACAGTAGATAAAGGGGCTAAGTCAAATTGATTGATTGAGAAGGTAAGGTACATGCAGGTGCGCTAGCGACCCGCTGTATCCAGTATGGTAGTGATCAAAATCACCACACACACATCCAAGTAATAATCTAAGGCGATTATTGTTCCACGAAGCACGCCTCCGCGCAGCGCGAGGTGTTTTTGTGGAAGCATTTGGTCTTTTTCTGTGTAAGTGGATCCACTTGTATCTGCATGCCCGTTTGTAGAGGTCTCGATCCAGTGATTGACGTCTTTGTCGACGTGTGCTGCCACCTCCTTAACGACTCTTCGGCCGGCGAGGATTCGTACTTGGATGGAGCTGCACGTGTCCATGGCTATGTTGGCCGCACAGTCAGCCATTTTGTTGTAGTCGCGGTAGTGATGACCCCAGCTGACCACAGCTACATCGTCGGCCAGACCTCTCGCCACGTCGTAGAATTGCGCCAGTTGGGGTTCACGCAATGAGCGATGGGTCCTGAGGAGAAAATGACGCATATTGAGGTACGCGAACGACCAGATATATCCTGTCTACCGGCAACAGTTGTACCGTGTAGACATCTACTATTATATGCTAAAGTGAAACTAGTCTTCGGACGGCGCAGCGGCGCTGCGCAAGGTGCTGTTTCGATGTAACGGGGTGAATCGTTACATAACAATTTATAAGAAATTGTTAATCGAGTATAACTATAAGAGTTATATTCTCAGAATATTGTCATAAGGACGAATACTCTGTAGCACTTACGAGTAGTTCCTAATAGGTTGATATAGGCCATTATATCAACCAACGAAGACGCGCCACGACAGACGCACGCAATGAGTGGTGAGCAGATAGTTGATATGCACATTTGTATTCAGACATAGTTAGATGAGGATAAACAGTGATTTATTAACAGACATTAACTATACTAAATCCAGTTCTACTTTTTACTTTAACCAATTACTCGCTTCTTCTTCTTACCGTCTTCCTCTGCACGTACGAGCGTACGTGAAGTTACGAGGCACCGCCTTAATCTGTCATCAGAATAAGTAGCTTGTACTGTCACCAGTACAAGCTTCAGGGTGCCCCGCTACACCTGGTAGCACTTTGTAGTCCGTCCAAGGACCGCGTTCACATCCAACGAGAATATGTTGGATGATGAAGATGACCAAAGCTTTCACGCTACGCATGACGGCTACTCCCATTTGAGCGATGTCGAATGGGATGCGGTTGAACGAATGGGTTCAACCATGGGCATCCATGCTGTTAGCGTCATGCTAGAGGCTCTCAATAGAGATGCCCAACATGCTACTATCGCCAAGTTCATTCAAAATGAACTTGACGCAGAACGCGAGAAAGTAGCCTTGCTTCACCAACAAGGTTCTCAACAAGCAGAGTTGTTGAGAGAACAGGGTGCTCAACAGTTTGAACTGTTGAGACAGCATCAGGCTGCTGCTGGTGGGTCGATGCACTCGCGTCGACCCGAGACTTTGAAGATTGACATCTCCAAGTATAGGGGGGTCAAAGAAGACTCCCTCTTGAGATGGTTCGTCGAATTGGATGACGCCATAAGGGCGCGTCGCATCGACGACGGGGATATGCAAGTTGCATTTGCCCAGTCAAATCTGGCAGGACGTGCCAAGACTTGGGCACTGGGGCTCAAGTTGCACGACCCATATGCGTTTGGGTCGTTGGAAGTCTTCAAGTCGCGGCTCAGACAAACGTTTGAACCGCCTAGAGCTGAGTTCAGAGCTCGAACTGAACTCTTGAAGCTCAAACAGGGTAAGCGTGATGTGCACGCTTACATGCAACATATACGACATCTCACGAGTTGTATAAGTTCCAATCCGGTGGATGAACACACGTTGGTTTCGGTGTTCATGCAGGGTCTTGCGGATGGTCCCGTCAAGACTCACCTGTTCCGACTTGAACTAGATTCACTAGAACAAGCCATATCCACTGCGGAACAGGAAGACTTCAGTCTAAGACAGGCTCGCGCCAGCTCGACATCATATCGTCAACCGAGGCGATATGACAACGGAGGTCCAGAGCCGATGGAACTCTGTTATGTAGAGAGCGAGAAGGCTCGCTCTACAGACTACAAGAAGTTGCAGAAATGCAACAGATGTCAGAAGACAGGACACTACGCTTACGAGTGTAGTGCCCCTCGTCCAGTGTCTCGCAACACTGGGCGTAGTGACCGTCCACCCATGAGAAAGGGGCAGGGACGCGGGTCCGCTGTTGGTGCAAAGACGCAACAACGGGATAGACCGTCAAAAAACGGACAGGATCAGTAGGTGCGGAGCACCCTACTGGTCCAGCAACGTCAAGAGAATTTGTAGGCCTCTTGATGAAGGTTGCTCCCAGCACACAAACATTGTGCGTTGCTGCACTAGGTAATGAGATCTCACTCATTACCTTGAAACCCGAAGTGTCGAATAAGTTGTCCCTTCGAGCTCTAGTCGATTGTGGGGCGTCCAACAATTTTGTGCGACGCCAATCGCTAGAAGATGGTCACTTCAAGTTTGTTGAATGTGACACACCTCCTACGAGGATGACGGTACGTCTTGCGACAGGCGCATCCGTAACCGTCATGAAGCGTATAGTGAAGATCCACTATACGCTAGAAGATACCCAATATGACGATGACTTTATCGTATTGGATTTGGATGACAAATTTGATGTCATCCTTGGAATACCGTGGCTCAGAAGGTACGAACCACGGGTAAACTGGCAACATCGAACAGTAACGATGCCTGCCGCTTGTTCATCAGTTGGCCATCTGATGAACGTTTTGGAGCGTCCACAAGCATGTGGATGTACTACGAGTGAGTGTGATGGCCTCACTTGTGGTACGGTCGTTAGTACGACTGCACAAAACCTTAGTGTACCAAACGGTTACACTTCGGAGCAAAGTTCCGGCGGCTGTGAGGAAACACAGGCTGCGCCGAAGGTCCACCACTCGAATAAGTCGAGTGGACCGGGACAAAGATGTATCCCTAGCGGGGAACATCTAGAAGAGAAACAATCGATCGCTCAGGTTAAGCGAAACGATAACCCTAGATCGACTGGAGAGTCTTTCGTAGAGGATCTCGCTGTGGTTGCGCAACCCCAGCTAGAGGAAGTTAAGGGAATAAGTCCCGATATTACAAATACGGCGGAAATAAGTTCCCCGAAACCCGAGGGAATAAGTCCTCGGGAAGCCGAAGGAATAAGTCCTTCGAGGCCTGAGGGAATAAGTCCCCAGGAAATGACAGAGACATTGAACGTCATAGTCAATAACGGATCAAGTGTAGGCGCTTATACACTTGATCTGGTTGCGCCTCCGAAGTTGACTTCGGAGATCACTCAGTTGCCAACGCTCGAACATAAAAGGTTCTTGCGTGATCTGCGTAGTGGCAAAGTCAAGCAGATCTGCGTACTCGTCGCTGACGACGAGTGTGTAGCCGACATAAGGTCAGCAACAGTGTTCACTGAGAACGAGAGAGTTCTCAGTAGTTCATCTATGGACGAGAGTGTCCTAGATGAAAAGACACGAATTGAGCGATATGACTCCCAATCATGGGAAACGCTCAAGACAAATCCTCTCTATGAAGATTTGGTTGAATTAAAGGATGTATTCCCTGAAACTGTTCCGTGCGAATTACCGAAGGATAAAGGTATTCGACACGAGGTCGAGCTTAAACCAGGCTCGAAGTACTGTGTCATGAAGCAGTGGCCACTGCCTCGTGAACAAGTACTTGCGATCGACAAGTTCTTTGCCGATCGTTTAGCTGCGGGCCATGTGAGGGAATCAACTTCCCCACATAGCTCTCCGACCTTCTGTGTGCGAAAAGCAACAGGAGGGTGGCGGATAGTGCATGCATTTAACAAGTTGAATGCTGCAACGGTACCGGCTCAGACGCCGATACCGAGGAAGGACGTAATCATTGATGGTATGTCAAAGAGTACCATCTTTTCGTCCATGGATTTGATGGATGGCTTATATCAAATCCTTATGCGAGAACGGGATATACCCTATACCGCAGTTAGCACGCCCAGCGGCATGCTCTGGGAGTGGCTATTAATGCCACAAGGGCTCAGTAATGCCCCTGCCACGTTCAACAGATGTGATACACATCTGTTGAGACCAGTACGAGAATTCGCGCCGAGTTATTTCGATGACGTATTCATCCATAGTCGAGCTGTGGATGGAAAGTCGGACGTTGAGGTTCACAGGTACCACGTCCGACAGGTTCTTACAATCATGCGAAAGCATCAATTGTATGCAAACCTCAAGAAGTGTATATTTGCAGCAAGCAAAATACCACTTCTTGGGTGCATCGTTGGTAAGAACGGTGTACGTCCTGGTCCCGAAAAGATCAAGGCGATCACCGACTGGCCTGTGCCGGTTGATGTCAAAGGTCTTCGAAAATTCCTTGGGCTAGCGGCGTATTTGCATAAGTATTCACGCAATTACGCCGAGATGACTGTGCACCTCTCTCGTTTGTTGAAAAAGAACGAGAGGTGGTTATGGAACGCTGAATGTCAGCGCTCCTTTGATGGTATCAAGCAGAGCTTGATACAATCCCCAGTCCTAGCAATAGCCGATCAGGACAGGCCATTTCATGTGGTCTGTGATGCCAGCGATTTCGCAATCGGCTGTGCATTAATGCAGTACGACCTAGAAGGCGTTGAACGCGTCGTCTGCTATCAGTCGCGTCAGCTGCAAACAGCTGAGCGGAACTATCCAGTGCATGACAAGGAACTCCTTGCCATGAAGTATGCACTCGCGAAGTTCAGAGTCTATCTATTAGGAGATAGACCCTTCATTGTTTACACTGACCATGCGTCATTACGCACGGCAGTGAACAGCCCGCACCTTTCACAACGAATGGCGCGGTGGTTGTCATTCTTTGCAGAATACAACTTTACGGTCGAGTACAAACTAGGAAGACTTAATGTCGTCGCTGATGCACTCTCACGTCGTCCCGACATTGAAACAGTCGCGAAACCCAACAGTGAGACAGTCACTGTTGCGGTTATGACGTCTTCAGTCCCATCTATAACGTTGTATGATGATGTGAGGCGGGCATACGCCCAAGATGGTGAGATTGTGAAGTTTTTGACACATCTCTCACAACCATCTCGAGAATCGTTGAAACGATTGTCGTCTGCGTATCGATCTGCGTCAGATCGATACACTGCTCGTAACGGTTTACTGTGTTATACAGCCGTTTCTGGTGACACACCACGTGTTGTCATTCCAGATGATACTGATCTGCGTTTGCGGATCATGTTCGAGTATCACGATGCTCCTATAGGAGGACATCGTGGCCGAGAGAAAACACATCTCACGGTAAGTCGAGACTTTTACTGGCCCCGCCAGTATCAGTTTGTGCGAAAGTATGTTCGCGCATGCGAAGTCTGTCAACGAGTGAAGTCAAGTCCTTCACTGCGTGCACCTTACAGCCTCTACCAGTTCCGGCAGAGTGCTGGGAATCCATCTCAATGGATTTCGTCTTCGGGTTACCCAAAGACGCACGCGGGAATACGGGTATTCTCGTATTTGTTGACAGATTCAGCAAAATGGTACACCTTGTGGCTGTAACCGAGACAATCACGGCAAGTGGCTGTGCTTGTGTCTTTATTGACACCATCTTCCGACTTCATGGGTTGCCCCGTGAACTCGTATTAGACAGAGATCCACGATTCACTGCTGATTTCTGGCGTTCCGTGTTCAAATCACTCGGAACGCGCTTGAAGATGTCGACATCTGATCATCCAGAGTCAGATGGTCAGACGGAACGTGCCAATCGTGTCCTTGAAGAGATACTTCGAGGATACGTACACTCCTTCAAGAGTTGGAGTGACTTTTTGCCAATGGTAGAGTTTGCCATTTACAACTCGGTGCATGCGTCCACGACACATACACCGTTTTACGTGATTGGCTTGCGCCATCCGCGTGTACCCACCTTACTAGAGTGTAACTCTGGTTTAAGGGGGGGGACGGACTCGCGCGAGCAAAAACCGATTTGGTTCACGCTCATCACGCTCTGACGAAGAGGTCATTGCGTTTGATGCCGATATCGATAACATCGATATCGAAGAAGATGATGCCAGTGAGAGTGCGGAAGCCCTCACTGAAGAAAAGGTTGATGTTGCTGCAGTGCGCTCACAGTGCACTGAAGCTAACGAGTCATCAGATGAGTTCATACTGGCTCGTGAAACGGTAGTCCGTTTTGTGCAAGACTCCATCGCCGAAGCGGTGGATAAGCAACAGCAAAACGCTGACAAGAATGGAAGGGCAAACACTCTTTTATTTAATAAAGGTGACTTAGTCCTACTGTCTACGGTTAATCTACCAAAGCATGTAGTGACTAACTTGGGTAGCAGTAAACTACTACCCAAGTACATCGGCCCATTTCGTGTATTGCACCGCCTAGGAAATGCATACACGATCGAGTTGCCGCGTAAGATGCGAACGCATCCCACATTTTACGCTGGTCGGCTTAAGCCGTACCATCAGTACGCTGCTTCTTCCGATGAAGAATGCCCTTGCGCTCAAGCATCTCGCAGAGAGCCTTGTGCTCCCGATGGTGGGCATCAACAAGGGTCTGAAGAGCAGTTATCTCATCCCGAGACCGATCAACAATCCCACGAGCTACCCTTAGCTCGTCACGAAGAGATGTCAGAGATCTCTCGTTCTCAAGCTGAGCAAAGGCAAACTCAGCTCGATGCTTCGAGACAGCGTCCGCCAGTTGGAGACGCCTGTCCCGCTCATGTTCGAGATCACCGCGTAACCCTTGCGTTACGCGATCAAAGAAGCTCTCGGGAACACACGGATCCCCACGATCGTGTGGAGAGCGTCTTTCCTCCTCCTCCACCTCCATTAGAGGACTCTCGCGGTGGCCAGCGCTATCTAGTTGAGCAGCTGTTGAACCACCGCGACGTGAACGGACGTCGGCCGAGTTATCTCGTCGGGTGGCGCGGCTATCCCCCGTCCTGGGATTCTTGGGAGCCCCGCTCCCAACTGATGGTTGACGTACTGGGTCTGGTTGAGCAGTACGATGCGGCACATCCTGAGCCGCAGAAGGACCGCTGGAGAAAGTCTTTCCGGCACGGTCGTAAAGGGATTTCAGGTTGTCAATCCCTTCGTACATCTCAGTGGAGATACGTACGCGCCACCACGGGCTATTAGGGAGGTAAGCCTCCTTAGGTGCTCGTGCAGAGTTGTTCACACAACATGGGCACGAGTCTCCCCAAGAGAGGCAGGGTAATCCCTTCTCCCTTGACAGACGATGCAGCTTGTAGCGTGCACCTGTCGGGGTTCTCTTTTCAAACTTATCACGAGCTTTGATAAGTTTGTCGTTCCAAGCGTCACGACCTACATCCTCAAGGTTATGGATGTAGGCGTTCCACGCCTGAAGCAGTGAGGGACCATCACGCTTGTGATTCCCACTGTACCATCGATGTCTAAAGAAAGCATCGATGAAGAATTCATTCTCAGCGCGATAGTTTTTCGCGCTGGGGTCAAGGTGATGGATCCTTGACGAATCGAACAATCGTGTTCGATAACGATCACTCGTCGTCGCCGACAAGTGATCCATGACGGATTTGGGAGGCATCCATGCCTTCTTCTCAGGAGCGAGACGCAAGACATTGCGGTCCCGCTCTTCCTGCGATGTGCCGACAGAAGTACTGGCACCTCGTTGCTAAGTGGTGTCCATAGGAGAACCGACACCACTGTTAGCGCCCGAGTCTCGCGACCTTGAGCGCCTTCGCTTCGGCGATTGTTCATCTGATTAATCAGATGAACCAAAGATGCTACGACGCGTAGCATCATCCATGCCACGCTTGGCAGGCGGCTTAGATTCGATCACCGTCGATACGGATCCGTCTTCCGTATCAGAAGAGTATGAGACTCCGAGCTCATACTCTGTGAAGACATGAGTGTCTTCATGACCAGCGCCTGCATCACCAAGTGACACAGGCTGAGTCGCTTCAGCAACCGATGAGACATCAGTTGCTGTGGTTTCTGCTTCGGCGTCCGCACAGAGACGTGCGGACGCGCTCTCGGCGGCCTTGCTCGCGCATCGCATGGGCTTGTCAACCATGCGATGAATTATTGGAAAGTGGACTCGGACCAACAAGTGCAAACCCTGTCCCAAACGATTTGGGACGAGTATCCATTTAGTCAATCATTCACTAAAGTGACTGATGGTTAAGGGGGGGGTGATGTAACGGGGTGAATCGTTACATAACAATTTATAAGAAATTGTTAATAGAATATAACTATAAGAGTTATATTCTCAGAATATTGTCACAAGGACAAATATTCTGTAGCACTTACGAGTATTTCCTAATTGGTTGATATAGGCCATTATATCAACCAACGAAGACGCGCCACGACAGACGCACGCAATGAGTGGTGAGCAGATAGTTGATATGCACATTTGTATTCAGACATAGTTAGATGAGGATAAACAGTGATTTATTAACAGACATTAACTATGCTAAATACAGTTCTACTTTTTACTTTAACCAAGTACTCGCTTATTCTTACCGTCTTCTTCTGCACGTACGAGTGTACGTGAAGTTCCGAGGCACCGCCTTATTCTGTCATCAGAATAAGGAGCTTGTACTGTCACCAGTACAAGCTTCAGGGTGCCCCGTTACATTCGAGGTTACTTGATCCCTCGCATGTGTTGTGCGGCTATGTTGTTTGGTAGTATCGGCTTGGGAACCCTCCAGCCAGTGATTAACATCATCATCGAGGAAGGACGCACCCTATAGGACGACTCGGTGCCTCAAGGTAGCGTGCACTTGAATGGAGGCACATGGATCCATAGCGAGATTGTCCACTCGATCCGCCATCTTTTCGTGGTCACGGTAGTGATGGCCTTAGCTGGCGACGTCAATATCGTCTGCTAAAGCCCGTGCTTATCGAAAAGGCATTTTCAGGTGTGGCTTGCAAGGGGGGTGATGGGTACGAAGTATGGATTGAACAAGCGTACTGTCTCCAACGACATGCGAAGGCGGTCATTCGCTAGCTTTCGCTTGGCGGAGACCGGTGACTAGCCCCCGGCATTCTGCAACATTGTTGGTAGTATGAGTAGAGCTGTAGGACATGCTCGCCACCCACATGATGCAAACGGCGTTCATCGGAACGTGTAATGTGAAGATACGGGATCCAGCCTCACACGGTCCGGGATTCCCACGCGACCCAACATAGAAGAAAAAAGGTAAAGAGCGCCTAAGTTGCTGTTGCTCGGCAACGCTCGCAACGAGGGGGGGGGTCATCGTGGCATAGGAGAGAGTCAGCAAGGGCCGACGGGACCCGTGAAGGAGCTGACCATCCGCTCCCACTCTGGCTGAAATGTGGACCCGTGAAAACGAGTGACCGACCGGCGGATTTGGGTTTCAGTCCTGGCAGCGTGTACCTCCTGTGGCAGAGTTTAGTCCTCCACAGGGTGGAGACGCTCAATCTAGATGACATGTAGCATCGTAGAGACGATAAAACGCCAAAGCTAGCTAGATGCTGCAAAGACCGCATCCTTCGCACCTGACGGATCATCGTCCGGGTGGAAAACATTTTAATAGCATCTTATGCCGCGCTTAAAAAGACACGTCAAGTCCATTCCAAATACCTAAACTTGAAGGTCATCCTCCTCAATGTCACCGAGAATTTGCCACCGAGATAGTAGATGATGCCAATGTCTTTGGGCGCTAGGGCAGTTTCAGAAGACGCGACTTTCCATTGCAAGGAGGGTGGGTAAGCACTCAGGTACAGGGCGCGACAGGTCTTGAGCCGCCCGATTCCCGAGTGGAAAACTGTTTCTGTTGAGTTTTTACAGCGTCTGTGCATTGGTTGGAAAGCTCTTACTTATCCGTCAGAGGTCTCTCCACTCGATCAGATCCTTACCTGCTGAATTCACTCAAAAGTCCGGCTTCAGGACCCGCTTTTCGCGTAGGCAGTTCCCTTCTTGACGCATCCGCCGAGAGGATATGTTTGATCTGTTTGCGTTACGGAAGCTATCGTCGTGAGAGCCAGCCCAAAGCTGCACGAACCGCGTGAGCACAGGATGTGCGCCAAAGTGGACAATAGATCCATTGTATAAGGAGGCAGCGCTATCTCAAGCCAACCATCGATGAGATTGGAGTCGCCCCGCAAGACATGCCTGTGTCAGAGTGGGAAAGCGATGTACTGTCGCGATTCAGTAGCCAGTCATGATGACGATGGATCTCCTGAGAGTACGCAATAAAGGCCCCTGGCTCAATAGCTTGATACAAGAGCAAAAGGAAGTTGTAGAGGAGGGCTACACAGAAGAGGGCTAAACAGAAAGATCTAAAGTGTCTTCGTTTCACCATCGATTGGATCGCCGCATCTCGCGTGGGTGAAAATCGCACAACATACACTGCACCGTGCTCCAAGGTATAGTGTAACTTAGGTAGGTCTGCTCGATCGCAAGTGCAACACCTTTCAACTAGTAGGGCTTACATCTATGATCTCTCAGCCACGACGTACCTTTCATCGAAGCGTGGACAAGCCATTTGGTGTCAAACCGACCCGATGCTGCAAATTTAGTCTTCATTCCAGCACGTATATTGTCATCAAGCGCTCGTCGGACATCAAATGAGAAGCTTTCGTCGTCATTATGGTCGACCCCGGCTTTCGATCTTATGATTATGGACCGACGGCAGACTTCCTTGAATTCGCCTTGGCGGGCATGTCGAGCAGTGGAGAGACCAAAATAATATCAGGACCAGTCAATTAGAGGTACGACCTGCATATGGCAAGATACGTGTCTTTGGTCTAACACGGCGTGATGTAAGCCTGGCCAGATCCGGGAGAACCCCACAGGACATCTCCAACCATCAAATTCCTCGAAACCGTAGCTACCCACTGTCTAAGCGCTGTTGCCGCCGTTGTCAGCAGTTCTCTTCGAATACACGGCACCACAAGGCTGCCTTGTTGTGTCGGTAATGTGGCCAAATTGGAGGCACCAAGGTCGGGATCAATTACAATCTCGAATATCCCATTCAAAGTTAATGAACAATTTATGCAATATAGTGACAATGGCAGGAGGAGGTCTAACAGTGACGTGCTGGTTAGGTAATTTTCGGCACCGAAATGGCACTGGCGACGCGGAGCCGCTTCTCGACTGTGTGAGTCTCGTCTCTGGCCAAAACGGATCCACACCATAAGGATCGTACACAATTAGTTCAATTCTCGTCTACTGCGTCCTGTTTCTCTACTAGAACACCTATGACGGCACGACTTGTAGAACGCTAGAATAGTGAGGCTGTGGGGTCAAGAGATAAGGCCGATCCGCGAGGGTCTAGATCGATAACCATAAACTTATCTCGATTCGTCTCAGGACCCGAGACCCTTGCTAATCTTTCCGGAATGGAAACAACCAGCTTTACCGCTGTTTGATCTTGCAGTTATACTGCCATGTCGTCGGCATTGCCCAAAACCTTGATCTCAGTCGTCGTGCCGCCTGAGATGAGAGGTACGCCGCATACTCCCACCCTCTGTCGGATCACCCGACAGACACTATCGAGAGCCAGTATGAAAAAAGTTGTGGTGCGAGTGGGCACACTTGCCGAATTCTACAGCGAACCTCTTGGTTTCTGGAGCGGTTGCCATTCTTTTTTGACCGTGAAAGGCAGCCGAACAAGAGAAAACAGATCAAAGCGTAAAGCATAACTAAAGATTTTTGGTACAGCCGAGGGCCATCAAGAAACTGGATGCAATGTCCGGGGAACCCCTACCTAAGAGCACGGCGACTGAGGGGATGCTGGTATACCTAATAATGGTGATCTTTGCACCGACCGGGACGTCAGAGAACTTTGGGCACCCTCGCGACTTGAGGACACCGGGATCAGGGGACTTCAGCGGAAGGGGGACTGGCGTCGAGTTTAAATAAAGAACAAAAGATATAAAAGGATAGGTATAATCAGACTAACGTCAGGGCCGGGCACCGCGCCACCTCTGGGAGAAGGAGAGTGACCAGGCAACATTTCCATTTGGGGTGCAGCCGATGCCTAAGGACAATTAATTCAAAGGAATCGTACACGGGCATGCTTCAGCACATCAAGAATGCAGAGATTGATGAATGTGGTTAGGTACTTATTAACATATATAAAGATGGTTACT